AGTGGCTAGGCCGGATATGTTTGATGGAAATCAAGCCATGTTTGCAGCGTTTCTGTGACAATGCCAGCTGTTCCTGAGTTTGAGAGCGGACCGGACGAAGGTGGGATTTATTATTAGTTTGCTCTCAGGCACAACTGCCCGTTGGGCAACACCCTTGTTAACCCAGCCTAGCCCTTTGTTGGATGACTTCCAGGGTTTTTGTCAGTATTTTGGGTTGATGTTTGAGGATCCCATTAAGGGGGAAACAGCAACCAGACGTCTTAAGTCACTGCAGCAGGGGAGTGGTTCATTACAAGATTATGTGAGTGAATTCTGGCTGCGTAGCCAGGATTCAGCATGGAACGAACCAGCTCTCATGGACACTTTTCAAGACGGCCTGTCTGATGACTTACAGGATGAACTGGCGAGGGTGGACAGGCCACCGACGTTCGATGCCTTGGTTCACTTGTGCCTCCGGATAGACACCCGGCTGCAGAGGCGGAGGCCTCGCCGTGCATCCCAGGAGACCACTAGTGTGCCGGTTCATCAAGAGACTGCAGTTGAATGGGAGGAGCCCATGGAGTTGGGTGCTGCCAGACCTCGAGTATCACGCACGGAGATGGACAGACGGCGTGCTGGGGGGCTGTGTTTTTACTGTGGGGATCCTGGACACCTAGCTGGGAGTTGTCCCAAGAAGAGTAGGAGGTTTGCGCGGCCTGCGGCCATCCCTCAGCAACGAACTATCGTGTCGGGAAACCAGCACGTTTGTGCGGCTCTGGTACCCCGCTCGCCCAAGGTAACGTGCATCCATGGTGTGTGGAATCAAAGGGCGGATGCCCTGTCTAGGAAACCGGAGAACTCTGACCCTGCAGACTCGCTTCCACTCCGGACTGTTCTACCCGTCGCATCCTGCGCTGCAGTTCATCATCCCGTGATCATACGGTCTCTGATACGGGATGCACAGCGGGGTGACGAATGGGTGGAGCAACGAAAGGCGGAAGTAGGGCCGGCTTCCCATGGACTTTGGAGGGGAATCTTTTGAAGTATCGGGACCGGCTCTATGTTCCCGCAGGGCCCATCCGTAGACGGGTGCTTTCCCAGTTTCATGAAGCTCCCGCAGCGAGACATTGTGGTTTTTTCCGGACATTGCGCCTGGTCTCCCATATGTTTTGGTGGCCCCACTTACGAAATGACGTGTGGAAGTGCGTGGTGTCGTGTGTCCAGTGTCAAAGGGCTAGGTCTGCGAGGAGGGCTTCTCCAAGATTATTGCACCCCGGTCCCCGCAGCACAGGACTTCCCCTCTGGGATTCCGGCGGTCCACCAGGTGGGGTGCTGCTATCTGGGCTGAGCGAGCAAGGATCACCGAAGGGCGGCTAAACAGTTCGGCCACCGATGTCTTGGACCGTGTCCCGTGGAGGCCGTCATCAACCCCTCCCGGCCACATCCCGAGCATCGGACCCAGGGGAAGGGCCCTGCGGTGGGGGATAGTGTTGTGGCCTGGCAGGAGCCATTGGCCACCAGGTGGCGGCAGAGCATTGGATCAGAAGGAGTGTTCAGGGAAACACTTGGGAGTTGTTACAGGATGCACCCCGTTGAAGGGTTACTCGATGGAAGGAACAACTGAGTACTTACAGGAGATGATTGGGAGCAGCTGTTGCTCATTGGAATCCTCTCCTGAGTATAAAGAGACTGCTGGTGCCATGCCCTGGTTGTAGAAGTCAACGTTCCGTTCCTGTTCTAGTGATTGTTTTTGTTTGCGTTCACAAACCGAGAGAAGCCAACTTGGATAAGTGGGTTGAGATAGGAGAAGCCGGGTTTGCATTTTGTTATGAGTTATAGGACTTTTGCCAAAGCTATTATCTTTGTTTATTTGGGCTTGCAGCCAACAAGAGCTTGGACTGATTAAAAGAAACCTTTTGAGTTATGTGGCTTTTGGCTTTCATTCCTGGACGGAGACGGGAGGTCAGAACAGTTATTAGTGTTAAGGCTAGGGCTCCTGAAAAAGTAAAGTTCTCTGCCTATTATATAATTTGTTTTTACTTTTAATTAGCTAGTGCAGAGCATGAATTTTCTTGGCATCTAGGATTGACCTGTATTCATTATACTAGAATTTGCTGGAAAATGACAAGGAAGGCTTTCTCATCTGTTTTTACAAGAGGAAAATATACAGAAACTTCGGTTCTACCTTATCAAATGGTTATGTTTTAAATCATTAAATATCTTGCAAGCATACTTCTGTTCTGATTTTATAACTGAAGTTCAAGATTAAAAGTGAACTATTCTTACATGAGAATGTATTTATAATTAATTTATTTTGGAAAATATTTGGAAAATGTGCTATTTCAAAAGCAAAGTGAAATTTTATTATTTTTATAATATTTAATCATATAAACCCTAACACGGAACATGATTAGAGGGGAAAACAATGTACACATATTTTAAATAATAGTAAAACACAGTGAAGGTTTAATAGCAAAATAAATGTTTTTATCAAACAAGGATATAATCTTGGCTGAGCCAAAAGCATGTTATTATAGAGCAGAATGCAAGTTTTAAATAGAAATTATTGAAATTATGAAATTACATCAATAATTGAGACTATTTTTTTAGGAGAGACTCTCACAAGATCATGGATTCATATTGTAACAGATTGTTTGGATCTCATTATTCAAAGATATGACTATTACCTAAATTTCTGTTACAGAAAACTTATATCTGAAAAGACACATTCAGTTGCCTAACTTCTACACAGGCATTTTTCAAGATCTTTTATTCTATGAAAGTGTCTCTATCCACATTACAATTGACTAAGCTGGAGCTCCACTTTAATTTATATGATCCTATATTCATAATGATGTTTTAAGGTACATCAATTTTCTATATCAAGTGACTGAAATTTCAGTTTGGACTCCTCTCTTGTTTATTAACAATTTTAATAGATCATGAAAAAAGGACTAGAAACACAGAAACAATTGTTATTCCAATTTAATATGTCTGTAATTTTAAAACATAATTGACAAAGGCAATTGTTTACAGTTTGAAGAGTCCTGGAATAACAATTGAAAGATATAAATAATCAGAGAAATTAAAAAGATGGCATACCAAATTGAATATCAGTAACATGAAGTATAAGATTATACTATATGAATGACAATATCAATGTACATCACATTTTTTATTATTCATTTCTTTACACTGTATCTTACAGGAATTTAAATTGAACAATTGTGGAGGGTTTCTGTATTATGATTTTCACACATATTTAAAATGCCATTCACAACAAATGTTACATTTTGAATAGACTTTCCAAAAGACACCAACATTTCAGATGTTTATTGAAATGTTGGCATTTTGTTAATGATTATGTTCTGATTTATACTTGCTAATCTTTAAATATCAGTTAGAAACAATACATAGATAATCTTTAAACAATCGCTTAGGTATTGAGCTACATGGTAAGCTTAATAATTCTCTCTTGTTGCATTCCCAATGGCCTAGCCTTTTGGAAGGGACAGACTTTTGAAAAATGAGGAAAATAAGATTCCCTAATTTTTAAGCTTTAAATATGAAAGCTGTTGTATCATATGGATATTGGAGAGGATTGGTAAGGGCATATTATTTTTAATTCATCATAAATATAAAATGAATGCTTAAACTTTTGGACTTCTCCAGAATTTTCTGTATTATCATGTTGCCTGAAGAATTTCTGCATAACTTCTGGGTTGGAAAAGGCTGGTATAAAATTCTGGAATATTAGATTTGTGAGGAAAATTGTTCTGAATACTACATTACTGAATTATTTATATTCTGTGCAATTGTTGCCCATGGGGTAAGGTGGGGCAAATCATGAAGTGTGCTTGATGATGTAAAAGGGAACTTTTTACTCCTGCACAGCTCAACTTGTCCCCTTCAGAAAATTTAATTCAGTTTCAAGCCACCATCCTTATTTGATATTACCTTTTATAACAAAGTTATATAAGACTAATAGCAGAAACTTTTAAAAACTTTAGAAAGAAATTATTCAATTTAGATAAATGGAAGCATCAAGAATAGTGGGCTATAAAGGAAAACAAATAACTTTATTATCACTTCTTTCATTCATACATTTTTTAATTCATGTAAATATGCCTGGATAACATTTTGATCAAGTGTGGCTCCCTCCTCATACAAATTAAGGCTAAAATAATTTTAACACTTGGAATAATTAAAAGCTTGGTGAATACATTTAAAATCTTTTAAAGGCAAGATTTAACAGCCTGTTGAAAACCAATGAAACAGTGTCTGTTTCTCTTTTTAAGGAACACTTCATACTCAGGATTCCTCAAGTTTCCTTGTTCACTGATGTTATTAGCTTTGAACAGTCACTGAATGAGTGATGGTGAATACTATTTGTATTTGCTTAAATTCTTACGCTTTGACTTTTATCTTTTTTCTAATAATTCAGAGCTCTGAAAGTGCTTTGAATTTATTATTTCTTGTCCAGATTAGATGGAGAAAGTCTGAAAGTTGACGTTCATGTGCTCTGCATAACAGCCCACTCAGAAATGGTAAGTGATCCAAAACCATATAGGTGAACTCTATAGTGACTTGCACATTTCCCCCAATCACAGCCCAACACCTTCATTGCTATATTATGATTCCTTGAAAAGAGTCTATATAGTGCATTACAGAAATTTTAATGGGAGAAAGATTATTAAGAAAAGAAATACTGACTAGAGTTTTTTTCTCCAGGAAAGAGTGCAAACTATTCATCAGTTGAAGCTGAGCAAAGATGCTCCTAGCAACAGCAACCCTTGACACTCCAAGAGGATGTTGGATTCTGCATTCTCACTCCTGTTCTGAACGATGAATCTGATATACAGAAAGAGCATAAACCCATCTAGAATAGACTGTATCCAATCTCAGATTATTTTATCTACTCATCAAAGTATATCACATTTTTCCAGGAACTTGTTAACCTGCATATAGTCCATTACTTATCTCCAGAGAAGAATTCAGGATTTTCTTAGCACCAGATCTGATAAGGAGAAATAGAGTGTGATATTTTAGGCACGATTTTAAGACCTAATCCTAACTCTAATTTCCTTATCTAATATACAGAATAGGGTCCATTGCTAAAGCTTGACCTAATTATACCTTTGAATAGAATTTTTTAAGGAACAAAAGGCAAATAAAACATAACATTAAAATGATATAATTATAATATAGTATGTTTCAAAAGCATTTTTATGCAGATGTGATATAATTTTTCAAATAATTTGAATATTAAATAGTTCAGTAAGATGAAAGTGAAAGGAGATATGATAAAGAAGCAACAAAAAATGAAAGAAAAATTATTATGCAACTCAATAAGTGAAGTGAAATTCCTAAAAGGATTTGCTAGAGAAAACACTACAGGTAGTCCTCAATGTACAACAGTTAATTTAGTGACCATCCAAAGTTATAACACAACTAAATAATGTGACTTATGACCATTTTTCACAAATTCAACCTTTATAGCATCCCCATGACCATGTGATCAAAATTCAGATGCTTGGCAACTGGTTCATATTTATGACCATTGAAATGTCCCAAAGTCATGTGATCACATTTGCATCATTCATTCATTCATTCATTCATTCTTTTATTATATTTGTATGCCGCCCTATCCCGAGGGACTCAGGGCGGCTAACAAGCAGGGGCGGAAGGGGAATACAAACAAGAGACAAACAAGCAAGTTAAAAACAACGCAACAGTCATATCAGATTAAGTGGGGCCGGGAACTCNCACCACCACCACCACCACCGCCCTGTCCTTTCGCCAGGAAAAAAAAAGAGGAAATTATATTAATAACTTGAAGAATGTGTTACTTTGCTGGAAGGCAAAAAAAAAGAACCCCAAGGAAAATGAATTTGCTGCAGTCTCTTATTGAAGGCAGTTATGCAACTAGCTTTCCACTAAACCAAAAAAATCTATGAATCACAGATGGGTCACCCACCACGTCTGGTTGTTTGTGATTCAGCCTACCCAAACAGAGGAAGGGATCACTAGATCAAGTCCCTCTGGAAATAGGATTGGCAAGACAGTCCATTACTCAATAGTGGATGTGCCTCTTTACTCCAGCTATTAAAAGTCCTGTCTCAAATCCTGCTTTTACTAATCACTTGCACACATGTGGCTGTTAACACAGAGATGGGGGGGGGGGGGAGAGTTTTCATTATTTTGCTTCTATTGGCTCTGAGAGACAGAAGCTTGTCCGGTTCCAATATCAAATTCAGCACTTCTAAAGAAAAAGAAAGGTGGGACTGTATTTTTTTTTTAAGATAAGGATTTTCAGTAGAAGAGGATTCTGTGCCCTTCAGTTCGAAATTGTAAAGGAACTAGGCCTTCCCATTCAACTGTTGCGATTTAAGCCCAAATCCTGGTGAATTTTATTCTAGTACCTTAGGCTCTGCAAGGAGGAACAAGCCTTATGATGACATGTTTCTGATATCCTATTGCCAGGATGGTGAACCTCTGGCATGCATGCCAGAGGTGGCACGCACAGCGCTCTCTGCGGGCACGGGTGCCACCTCCAGCTGCTCTTCTGGTCTTCATAGGCACTGGAAAACGGACTGAAAATGGCCAAAAAACCAGCCAAAAAACAGGCCATTTTTTCAAGCCATTTTCCAGGTTGTTTTTCAGGCTATTTGGGGCAAAAACAACCTGAAAAACGGCTTGAAAAGGGCCAAAAAATGGCCAAAAATAGGCATCTGTGGGCCAGCCAGATGGTCTTTGTATTTTTGGCACTCTGCCGTGTGCTCGCATGCACCACATTCCAGTCTGACCACTTAGTACCAAAGAGTTTCGNACCTTCAAGTTGACAAGGTTGAGAAACACTGCCATCGGCCTTGGGAGATGGAAGGGAAAACCTTGGGAGGCAGAAGGGAAGGAGTTGGGGGTCCAGTTTTGGTCACCATCAGAGGTGGGTTCCTACTGATTCGGCCCGGTTCGGCCAAGTAGGTAATAACTCAGCCGGACACACACCCGAACCAGTTCTATGCTTAGCGCCGCCATCTTGATTTTCTGTTCTGCACATGCGCAGAAAAACCTTCACTGGAAAAATGTAATTTTTTCCCTTTTCTAATGTGCTCATGCGCAGATCTTTTAAGGTGGGCGCATTTTTGCGCATTGAACTGGTAGTAATGCTGGCAGGATCCCACCCCTGGTCGCCATGATGTAAAAAAAGATATTGAGACTCTAGAAAGTGAAGAGCAACAAAGGGGACTGGAAGCTAAAACTTATAAAGAACGGTTGCTGGAATTGGGTATATCTAGTTTAATATAAAGAAGGATTAGGGGAGGCGTGATAGCAGTCTTCCGATATCTCAGGGAGGGGGAGTCAAGCTATTCTCCAAAGCACCTGAGGGCAGGACAAGAAGCAATGGGTGGAAACTAATCAAGAGAAAAGCAACGTAGAACTAAAAAAAAAATTCCTGACTCTTAGAACAATTAATCAGTGGAACAGCTTGCCTCCAGAAGTTGTGAATGTTCCAACACGGGGAGTTTTGAAGAACAGGTTGGACAACCGTTTGTCTGAAATGGTATAAGTTTTCCTGTCTGAGCAGGGGGTTGCACTAGAAGACCTCCAAGGTCCCTTCCAGTTCTGATTCTGATTCTGACCATTTGAAAGTCACCTTTTGTAGTTATAAGGAAAAGGTCTTGGGAAACGGAAGGAAAACCTTGGGAAATAGAAGGGAAGGTCTTAGGGGTAGAAGGGAAAGGCCTTGGGAGACAGAAGGGAAATCTTGGGAGTCAGAAGGGAAAGTCCTGGGAGCAAAAGGCATTGGGAGACAGAAGGAAAAGGCATTGGGAGACAGAAGGGAAGGTCTTAGGGGCAGAAGGGAAAGGCCTTGGGAGACAGAAGAGAAATCTTGGGAGTCAGAAGGAAAAGTCCTGGGAGCAAAAGGCATTGGGAGACAGAAGGAAAAGGCATTGGGAAAGAGAAGAAAGACTTGCAGCCTAGAAAACCAAAATAAGCAAGGGGATCTCAGCCCACAGATAGAGGGAAGGCTTGGAAAGCTTCCCAGAAGGACCATCCCTTGTTGTTGTTGTTTTTTTAAGTAAAAGGAAAGGAAGGGAGAAATATTTTTAGATTTGCAAAATTCTATTAAGACAACCTTACAATAAAGGTAGAGTTGATATTCATTATTGTGCTTCTTGTCTGGACTACCTCAAAGGGCTAACAGCGTCACACATTTAAAAAGGGGATGTGGGCTTTGTGTCTTGATTTTTTATGCCGTCTCTCCCACCTTTCCTCCATTAAATATTCACAGAAAACAGGGGGGGGGGACTTATTTGGAAGAGAGGGGAAACATCTGCTTTGCAGGATATATTTTTTTCAAGTTCCCATGAGCCCTGATTTCCTGGTGGTCTCCTATCCATAACTAACTAGGCTTCATCCCGATTAGCTTTTCAAAATCAGTCAAAATCAGTCATGAAAGGCTGGAGGGGGGTGTGCGGCTTTCTTTACATATATCATAGTGATTGCTATTGCTAGTTATTCTTAATCTCTACTAAGGACTAGATATTAATAGAAATTTATCTGGCTTCTTATAGAATTACTCCGTGACTTGGCTTCCCCCCCCACCCTCCATGTCACTGGCTAATTCTATTCCTCTTGCTGCCATCCATTTCATATTTTCATTTCATGCCTGGCTTGCAATGGCCCTTCTCAAACATCATGATTAATTCCTCATCCCAAAGGGTCATGGCCACCCATCGTATTTATTTTCCAAGAAGGACTCTAGGTTGTAGGTTAAGCTGCAAGCTATTTGAAAACACAGACAATGCTGCAATCTCTCATTTCCCTTTGCAACTGCTTGAACCGGCCATCGGCTATTTGTATTTGTATTTAGTTTATTTGTATGCCGCCCTTCTCCAGGAGGGACTCAGGG